TGTGTGTGTGTGTGTGTGTGTGTGTGTGTGTGTGTGTGTGTGTGTGTGTGTGTGTGTGTGTTTACCAGGGCTTGGGAGTATGGGTCCTGGGGTGTTTGTATATGTGTGTGATTTGATCCCCTTCCCCACCTCATCTCCATGGGACTGGCCCCCTTGTCCCTCCCAGTCCCCATCCATAGAGCTGCTACAATACCACATCAACCTGGTCAAGAAATTCTGTTCTTTAGCAAGAGGGTTTGGGGCAGTGCTCTCCTACTGAAAATTTCCTGTTTTTCAGCCACGTAAAGGTGTGTACACCTACAAGCCTCAGATACTATAACCAATTACATAAACTTGGGGTTAACATTTCAAAGAAGGAAAGGGTTGTGGAGCTTATAGATTTGTCTTTCAGGAAACCTGGCAGATCAAATCTTTCACAGAATCTCAGAGCTGGAAAAGAGCACAGAAACCATTTAGGTTAGGGGTTCTTAACCTGGGGTCAATAGACTCATAGACTTCAGGGGGTCTATGAACTTGGACAGGGCAGCTAGGGATGCAGTTGATAAGAGTGCCAGGCCTGGAGTCAGGACAATTCATCTTCTTGAGTTCAAACCTGGCCTCAGACACTTACTAGCTGTGAGACTCTGGACAAGTTACTTAACCCTGTTTGCCTCAGTTTCCTCATATGTAAAATGAGCTGGAGAAGGAAATGGCAAACTACTTCAGTAGCTTTGCCAAGAAAACCCCAAATAGGGTCATAAAGAGTCAGGCATGACTGGACAACAACAAATGGATAGGGAAAGAAATTACATCCTAATTTGATTACTCTTTGGTTTCCTTTGTAATCCTATGCATTTAAAAACATTCTCCTGAGAAGGGGCCGAGAAGCTTGACTGGGCTGCCAAAGGGCATACTCTTAGGTTATGAAGTGCTGGTCTAGTGGAACCTGTAGCTGGGCAGGAATCCCTGCTACACCTCTAGTAAGTGGCCATCAATCATGTGCTTCAAGACCTCCAGTGAGAGGAAACTTACTCTCTCTGAAGGCATTCCCATTCCCCTTTGAGGCAGCTGGAATTGCCAAGCAGTCTGAGTATTAATTTGCTTCTCTGCTCCTAGATCTGCCCTCCTGATTTAGAGCACCAAAGAATCTGGCCAAGTGGCTAGGATAGGTTGAATAAGGGATGCCCAGATGGGCCTCAGCCTTGCCTCAAGATGCTACTTTCCCTTCTCAGGGGATGGGACAGGATGTGGCTGGGATGCTGGAAAGTCCCTGGAATGGCTCCTGACACGGTATGAGTTTGGAGTTTCCAAGAGACTCGGTATCTTCTTTTCTTTGACATTGACACTCTTCTGTCCCTTCCCCTTCTACACTCTGCCCCCAACCCCGCTTCCTTAGCTGATTGAAATTGAGACTTTATGGGGGCAGAGAAGGAGAAAGAAAAAAAACGAAGGACACATGACGACAAAGCTATGAGAAAAACCAAGCCTGACCCAAAGGCGCCAGCCAGGGAGCTGTCAGCAGGACCTAGATGTGGGGAGATTGGTGTGTGACAACACACACACACACACACACACACACACACACACACACACACAGAGTCTACTCCATCTCCTGCTCCGGGGATGTAGACAGCACTGCCATAACAAAATGACGCCTGTCACAACAGCTTGAGATGGCTGGCTGACGATGCACAGGCTCCCAGAGCAGCTGGTGACGGTCACAGAAGGGAGGGGAAGAGGGAACAGGCATGCTCACTCACCTCCTGTCCCTTCAGGCTCTCAACTCTACCCCTCCTCTGACACCATCCTGGTTGGGGGCTTCCCCATCATGGGCTAGGGGGTTAGGCCGGTGGGCCGGGGGCAAGGGATATATGGCAATCCAGGAGAAACATGTCCTATAGCTCGAGTCATTTCTCTGCCATGGCTAATGGGCAGAAGCAGCTAGAGGACCAGGTGGATTTCCAACACATGTTTATCTGACCTCCTCTCTCTCCTTGCCATCAATATGAGGACAAGAGATCTCTGGCTTGGGAATCAGTAGACACAGGCCTGGAGTCAGAAGACCTGGGCTCAGATCCTACCAGTATAACTTTGGGTGACCCTTTCCTGGGTCTCAGTTTGCTCGTCTGCTGGGGTCCATTCTGGCTCTGGGTCATTGGTCCTATAATCTCTCATGCAGCCCCGGCTCTGCCACTGTTAGCTTTGTGACTTGGACATGACCCTTCCCGGGCCTTGAGTTTCCTATACTTGGTCTAGTTGTGCTCTTGAGGCCCCTTCCCGTCTTTCAGAATCGATTGGTCACTTGCTCATTCCATTAGGAAGAAAAAAAAAAGCCAGAGGCAGACAGTTTCAGGCCTGTATGCAGGTCAAACTGAGATCTGAACTCAGCTAATTACCCCACCTTCATTCCAGTTCTTCCCTAAGGATGAACAGTGTGCTCTAAATTTTAGTTCATCTAGGGTAAGGTGAACAATAGGTAGTTTGAGTGGTTTCCATTTTCCAGAGGCTTGTAACCAGCGGTTCCATCTATTTCCCTGATAAAGTGGAAGGGAGAGCGTAAGCCTCTGTCTTTGTCCCTTGAGCTGGGGGCTTAGTGAAAAGCAGTTGGGACATAATCAGAGGATTGCAGCTCCATCTGGCCATGCCAAGGCAAAATCAGGACTCAGCTCTCCTCACCCTCTCTAGCTGTCTCTACCAGCTCCATTGTCTCTTTCCTCAACAGAAAAGGAAACAGAATGAAACTCCAGACCCCTCATTTTGTGTTCTGGCAGCCTATTCCTCAAGGCTAAAAAACCTGGCATATAATATCAAATGAGATAACATACACAAACCTCAAGACTCTACATAAATGCTGGTGATTATTGTTATTATACTGTTGTAACAGAAATTTGGTGGTGGTGCGGTAGTAGGCACACTCACTTGTAGCCTACATGGGCTGGTCACCCTTCAGCCTGCTACTTAACTCATTTCTATATTAATTTCTCATCATCCCGTCTTTGGTAATCCAGTGATTTATACACTGTTAATAATAATCTCATATTTCCATAGTCATTTAAGGTATGCAAATTGCTTTCCTCACAATAGCAGTGCAAAGTTGGTGATGCAGGCGTTATCCCTATGTGGGGAGAGGGCAGTCCCAGACTTTCCATTTCATCATCACTGGGAACCCCAGATAGGGAAGTTGCTTCCACAGAGGCAATTTAAGGGTAAGAGTCTTGGAGAGTCGGTTGGACCACTGATAGGCTAAGTGACTTGCCCATGGTTGCAGGGCTAGTGTGCATCAGAAATAGGACTTGACCTCAGGTCTTAAATTCAAGGCTGGCCACCCCTCCACTCTTCCATGTTGCCTCTCACCTGAGCTTGACATAGATAGAAAACAAATGCTGTCCTGGGTGGCCAGCGCTCTTTTCCCTATAGTTCTCATATCCCAGGTGAGTCTAGCTATTCTTCCTAACTACTTTCCAAACGTGGGCCATCTTCAGTTGTCCTGATCTGTATCTGGCCACTGGGCCCAGATGGAAAGAGGTGAGGCTGGCAACTTTGCACAGCCCTCCCTCACTGTAATCCAATTCATATACAAGTCACTGGCCCTCTTTGAAAACAAAGGACAAACCACACACACAAGTTTTCAAATCCCGAGTTCCTCATGCCCCCAGCATCTGGCCGCTATTAGGGGTCCTTAGCCCCTCACATCCGGCTCTGCTTTCACTGGTGCCATTATAGGTTCAGAGCATTTGAAAAGCCAGCAGCCTGTTCCTCCATCTAAATCACATTAGCCTTACCCTCTGCAGGACCCTGCCCCTTCCTGACATTTATTAACCTTCAGCCCTTTATCAAGGAAAGTGCATGTCAGATGGCAGTGACCTTGATCTTCTCAGACCTTCTGCCAGTTACTCAAGCAATATATTCATGAAGCTACACTTCATGACGTAGCTTTTCCTCGTCTCCCCCCACGACAGGAAAATATACTCCCATGATGCATGTTAGCTTTGGACTCTGTTCTTTGACCTTTGTCTCTTGAATGCAGGGAACGTTTTTTTGATGGTTTGTCCCCTCAGCGTGGGCAGTCAGAGGGGTTTCTGTTACATGCACTGGAGAGCCAAATGGGAGAGTGGGCATGACCTCCCGGGCTGACACTGATAAAAACCACTTCAGTGTTAACAGACACTTGCCAATGGCACTGTTGACATTATTGCCAGTCACCATAGGCCATGGAGGTCATTTTTAGCCTGGCTGAACAGGGACTTTTGACTCATCATATAGATTCCTTCTTCCCAAGGGCTTCATCTCATCATTTCAAACCTTGAGATGTGCCCTCTGCTCGCTCAGGGAGTCCCTTGTGGCTAAACTCCTAGGAACCAGAACCCACAGCTTGCCCTCATTCTCAGGAATCAAAGGTCAAACAAATAAACCACCTCAACTGAGAAAACAGCGATGATGTTTAGGCTGGAACAGAGGTTTAGGGGTCACTGAATCCCTGTCTCCTACTCTTGAAGGAGAAATCAAACATGTTTCTAGGACCCAAAGAGCAGAAGTAAGAGTGGTGGCAGGTTATAGGGCAGCCAGTGTTAGCACAACATCCGGAAGGACTTCCTCATGAGGAACCTTGGCCAACAAGGCACTGGCAAAAACTCGTGTGTACCTCGTGATTCCAGGCTAGCTTATGGACTGAAGTGCTCACTGAGGCCCCGGTGGAAGAGCCCCTGTCAGCAAGGCTGCAGTGGAGTCCTGTGCTGGAGGGGAGCTCTGAACAGATGACTTCTGAGCTACCTTCTAATTCTAGAATTCTATGATTCAGAGGCAAAAAAGCAGCGACAAACAATTCCTTTCCTACTGGATGTAAGGGTTTTAATTCTGCACAACATGGACAGACAGGTGGAGCCTGGGGGTCAAGGAAGGCCTAGGACTCATGTGTTTGCATCCAAGTTTGGTTTTAGAAGTAAACAATTGAGTGGAGAGGATTCACAAAATACTCTGGCACATTTAGCAGCAAAGATCATCAATGCATTTTAGGAAAAGTATTAAAAATGGCTGAAATTAACCCTTTAATACAGAATCGAGGAACTTGACGGGTCTGACTGCTCAGTTAGCTACACCCCAATGGTCAAGAAGCATGGGGAATGGTCTTCAACTCATCCAAGATTACAGACATACCAGATTTTGGGTACCTAGATCAAATCCTGGGATTGTAAAAGGCAAACGTGGCTTCGGAATGAACCTGTCCTTCTCCTTGTGGTCTGCATCCTGATGGGGAAGAACGGGCTATCAGAAAGCAGGGTAGCAACTGCCATCTAAAGCTGTAAGGCCAAGGGCTCAAAAGGAATCTGAGTGAAGGGAGAGTATCTTTCACTTGTACTTCCTGGTAGGAAATTCCCTTCGGCCCTTACCCTCACTGCCAAAGTTGCGTACCCGATGGATGGCCTGAAGTTGCTGTTCGATGGTGGTAGTGATATCTACGTCATCGGGAATGTGGACATAGCGGACATTGCGACCAGTCACAAAGAGGTCATCAAGCTGGACCTGCTGGCCCTGCCGGTCTGTATAGGTGACCTCAGCCAGGCGGATATTCATGAAGGCATCCACGTTGTCCACTCGGCCACGGGCCACAGTCTCATCCCGCAGGTCCACTGTGGTCACCAGGCCTCGGAGACCCTGCAGCAGGATGACCAGGCTATTCTCAGCAATAGTGCGCTCCTTTACCGAGTGGCTGACCTCCATCTGGCAGTGAAGAGATGGGGATATTTCAACACTTCACTGAAGACAAAAGGAAACAGATGTAAGCAGTGGCAAGTGAAAGGCCCAACTCACCTTTATAGAATCTTTAGAGCTAGAAGGGACTTATATTGAGGTCATCAAGATTTTTTGTGTGATGTGGACCTATATGGCAATCTGGTGACACTTAGAAAACTTTTCTTAAAATGTTTTTTAAATGCATAAAATAAAATACACAGAATTACCAATGAAGCCAGTTACAATGAAATACAATTATCAAAATATTCTAAAAAACAAGTTCACAGGCCCCAGGTTAAGAACCTTTGACCTGTCCAACTATCTTCTTTTAGACATGAGGACATCGAGCTCCAGGGACAAAGGTTCCCTGACTCACTCAGAGTCATACCGGTAATAAATAGCACTGATTCTCAGGGTTTCTTCACGATACCTCAACATCGCTTCACTCTAGGAATCACCTGACCATCACCACCCGCCTCCATTTCTCACAGTAGTCTGGGATTTAACAAACAATATCCATTGGTACATGTTGATTTGTTGTATTCTTCTATGGTTTGTGTGGCTTTGTGTTGGCCTAGGAGCTCCTTAGGGCAAGGACTAGGTCTCCTTTCTCTATCCTTAAAGAGAAACTAGCCTCAACCCTGTGCTGGGAAAGCTGAGAGATGGAGTCACACATGGGTGCCAGAACAGGATGTCTATTTGTCTTGTGCTGTTTCTACCTGGGTGACCTTCAGTGAGTCATACATGACAAAGAACACTGATTTAGGAGGCATAAAACCTGGCTACACTGATCCTTGCCCTCCCAACTGTTAGCTGGGCAGGCCCCTCTCCCTCTCTAAGTCTCAGTTTCTCTGTCTGTATGAAAGTGAAATGAGGGAGCTGGACTGGATGATGTTCTTGAAGGTCCCTATAAATTCTTTAGCGGATGATCCAATAATCCAGCCATTTAACCTGAGACAGGTGAACTTGTTTTATAAAAATGTGTTGACACTTACTAGCTGTGCAACCCTGGGCAAGTCACTTAACCCTACTGCCTCATCAAAAAGGCAAAAAAAAAAGTGGATAACTATTAGAAGAAGATAACTGATTTCCTTTATAATCCTATGTATTTTGTTTCATGCAGTTAAAAACATTCTCCAGAGAGGGGATCCATTGGCCTCACCAGACTTGCAGAGAGTTCCAAGATAAAAAAAAAAGGTTAAGAATCACTGCTCACTTCAGTAGGATTTAATCAGTAAATTCCTAAGAGAATGACAGATTTTCAGAGTTGGAAAAGCCTTTGGTGGCCACTGAGACCTGACAAATAGTATTATTCAGTCTTTGCTTGAAGACTTCCAGTGAAGGAGAAATCACTACTTTCATTACTATTATTATTTTTTTGGCTAGGCAATGGGGTTAAGTGACTTGCCCAGGGTCACGCTGCTAGTAAGTGTTAAGTGTTTGGTTTGAGGCTGGATTTGAACTCAGGTCCTCCTGACTCCAAGGCCGGAAGTCTATCTACTGTGCCACCTAGCTGCCCCGAAATCACTACTTTTAGAGGTAGCCTATTCCACTTCTGGAAAATTTTTCCTAATATCAAACAGAAATTTACCTCTTGGCAGCATGTACTACTGCTTCAAGTTCAAGGCCCTCTGCAATCATTAATTCAATATCTATTACTAAACATCAGTTACATGTAGAACACTGGGCTAGTAAGGTCCCAGGTCCCAGATCTAGACTTGGAAGGGACTTCAGAGGTCACCTTGTCCAATACTTTATTTTAGATATGTGGAAACTGAGGCCCAGGAAGCCAGTCACTTGTCCAAGGTCACACAGGTAGTCAGCATCACAGGAAGGACTCCAGCTGTTTCCATCCTTCTGCCTCTAGGTGCCAAGCTGAGCTAAGCCTCAATGCTAGAGATCCTCTGAGGCTTGGGGAGAGGTAGCAGAGATGTGAACTCAAGCTCCCTGTTCCCAAATCCAGGGCTCTTGCCCCTAGACCAGACTGCCTTTTTAGCAGTTTTGAGGAAGAGCCTGAGGATGCATAATTAAGGCTTTGTGCCTGGTAGCCTGTCACCCTCCTAGGCTGTGGTAGGGTTCAGGGACAAGTACCTTTGGGAGAACAGGGCAGATGGGCACTCAAAGCCCTCTGGCTTTCAGGGAGCAGGAAGAGCGGGGTGAGGTGAAGAAGGATATTATCCAGGATCTGGGGAAGGCTCCAGCCTCAGGAAGGGGTAACAAACTTTATGTCTGTAGCCGGGAAAGGGCGGGGGGCACGGAGGACGATAGGTGGCACAGGGGATAGAGTGCTAGGCCTGGTGTCTGGAAGACCCGAGTTCAAATCCAGCCCTCAGACCCACTCAGTTTCCCCATCTATAAAATGGGGATAATAAAGGCACCTTCCAGCCAAGGTTATTGTGATCAAGTGAGGTAACGATTGTAAAGCGTTTAGCACAGTGCCTGGCATACAGTAAACGCTATGTAAGTGATGGCTATTGTTACTATTATTATTATGTTATTAAAAACGCCATAGGGAAAGTGCTGGGGGGAGAAACACTGCAGGGTCTCCTCCTCCACTTTCCGTCTCTCAGGACTTCCACGCCTCCCCAGCAGCCCCCTCCTCCCCACTCGGGATTACCCCCTCCCCCACACTCCCCTCCTCCCACACTCAGGGGCGCCCCCCCCCCCCCGCCCAGCTCCCCCCATTTCGGCCTCCTCCCCGCCCTGCGGACCCACCACGCAGGGCCCTTCACTTCTCTCTCTCTCTTTCTCTCTCTAAGGCCCGGGAGGACCCCGGGGGCCATGGAGAAGCCGAGCGCAACCTCACCAAACTTGGCCTCCAGGGCCATAGAAAGGCAGGGACGATGGAAGCACGTGACCACGTGACCCAGTCGCGCGAACGCCGCGGGAGCGGAAAAACCACAAGTCCCAAAAGGCTTCGCGGCGCTAGGCCCTTCCTGCGCTGCTGCCGGCTGACTCCTGCGCGCGCCTGTTGGGGCAGCGGAGGGCCCAAGCTCCTAGGCGTCATATCCTCCCATTCCCAGCGGCCGCCCACAGGCTCTCCAAAGCCCTCTTCCTCCGCGCAGGCCTCACTGATCTCTTCCGTTAGTGCTTCATCCCTTCTGGCGCTTTGTACACCATTCGGCATAGTGACGTGGAAGGGACTTTCTTCCAAGCCTGATCTTGCCTTCTTGTTCCCTCGAACATGACTCCAGGCATTTCCCGTTGGCTGGGCTTTCCCATGCCTGCAGTGCCCTCTCTCTGCCTCATCACTTCCCCTGACTTCTTTCCAGGTCTCGCCTTCTCCAGGAGGCCTTTCCCGAGCCCCTCTAATGCCGGTGCCTTCGCCTTGATCCCCGGTGTACAGCTGCCTTGTGCGTAGCAGTTTGCGTGAAGCCTGCTCCGTTAGACTGTAAGCTCCCTGAGGGCAGGGCCTCTTTCATCTTTTTAATCCCTGCGTTTAGCACGGTGCCCGGGATACCGCGCTAAATAAACTTTGTTGAAACTTGGTTTGACCCCAGTTTTTTCCTGTTGTTCTTGTTCAGTCGTTTTTCAGTCGTGTCCTGCTCCCCGTGACCCCATTTGGGGTTTTCTTGGCGAAGATATTACAGTGCTTTGCCATTTCCTTCTCCAGTCGACAGACGAGGGAACTGAGACAAACAGGGTTAAGTGACTTGCCCAGGGTCGCAGCTAGTAAATGGCAGTGGTCCGATTTGAACTCAGGATCCTGACTTCAGGCCGGGGAGCTCTATCCATTGCGCCAACTAGCTGCCCCTTTCTCCTCTGTAATATGGAATAATACGGTGGGTGGCACCAAACGGAGGACTATAGTCGGGTGAGCTATTAATAACCCTATTACCGCCCTGCAGTTTTGCAGCTTTCCTGAAGTTTGTCTTATCTGCCCAGCTGGGGCTTGTAAATTCCCCGCGGGTCAGGTCTATATTTATCTTCGTACCTGTAGGTGTGAAGCCGGTGTTTTATTGGGTGAATGAAGGGGTTGAGGCGGTGACAGGTGTGGGAAAGTGGAGTTTCAAGCAGGGTGTGGTCAAAGGTTGGCTGAGGAGAACCTGTGTGATCCTCGGATTTAGACTTTTGAGTGTGTTTTTTCAGTGGCAGACTGAGAATGCTAACTACGGGAGGGTGGTGGTGGAGGCAGTTGGGGTAGATTTTGGGCTTCACAACTTTTGCTGTAAAAGTTAATCAACAGGTAAACCTTTATTAAATGCCTACTCTGTGCCCTCGTGCTGACCGCTGGGGACACAAAAGAGGCAAAAACCATCCCCGCCCTGGAGTTTACAGTGTTATAAGGGGGACAACATGCAAACTGATATATACGAAGCAAGCTGTATACAGGATAAGTAAATAATAGGAAATGAATAGGAAATAAAAGAGAGAAAGCGCTAGAATTAAGAGGAGTTGGGGAAGGCTTCCTGCAGAAGGTGGGATTTTAGTTGGGACTTAAAGCCGGGGAAGTCAGTAGTCAGAGCAGAGGATGGGGGGAGGGTTCTGGAAATGGAGGACATCCAGAGAAAATGGTAGGAGTGAGGAGATGTTATCCATGGAACAGCCAGGAGGCCAGAGATGCTGAATCAATTGAAAGGTACCTGACAGGGAGGAAGATGTAGGAAGACTGGAAAGGTATGAGGGGGCTAGGTTACCCTGTAAATGCCAACTAGAGCAGAGAGAGACAGTGGCTAGGAGCAGTGTCATAGAAGGATTCCCCCCCCCCCCAAATGGGAGAGGCTTGTGTGGATTTTAGGGCAGAGGGAAAGGAGCCAGTGGTGGAGAGGGAAACCTTGAAGATCAAAGAATCACGTGGAATCTTGGGGTTGGGGGAGAATTGACAAGCCATAGTCCAACCCCTACCTGAACAGGAATTCCCTCCTTCCCCTAGAGAGAAAGGAGGGAATGTGTGATGGAATTTAGCTCTCTGGAGTCAGGTAGGAATGGAATTTGTGTGTAGGTGAAGAGATTAGCAGTTGGAGAGGACAGACAGCGCTAAATGTCCTCATTCTTCTTACCTATTGCAATCCCTGTGATAGACACACTTGTGGCACCAGAAGAAAATCATGATTTCATTAGTGTGGGCATAGATAATGATCACGCCACACCCTTCACAGCTGATTTCACGTGAGGGTTGGGCTTAAAAAAATCACACTTTGTGGTTACCCCCCTAGTGATTATTCTCTCTGGAACTTTTCCATGGGCATAGCTTTTGAGCAAATAAGGGTTCGTATGTGTGTAGTTGTTTGTAGGCTGTCTCAGCCATTTGAATGAGATCCCTTTGAGGCCGGGTGTCCAGGTGGACAGGGCCCTCTCCAGTCATCTGATCTATATCCTGCCACTGGACCCAGATGGTTCTGGAGGAGAAAGTGAGGCTGGTGACTTTGCACAGGCCTGCCTCACTTAAATCCAATTCACTTGCAAGTCACAACATCACCCCTTCCTGATGTCATGGCCCACTTCGAGAAAGAAGGACAAACAACCACCAAATCGAGAGAGTGATCTGGAAGTTCCGAGTTCATATTCTGACCCAGATGTTTACCAGTTGTGTGACCCCGGGCAAGTCACTTAAACCTCTTGACCTTAGTTTCTTTTTCTATAAAATGGGAATATGCCTACCTCCCAGGGTTGTTGTGAGGACCAAATGAGTTAATATTCAAGGCCTAGCACAAAGTAGTTGCTTAATAAATGTTTACTGGCAGCGTGTATAAAATGCTTTGACAACCTTAAAGTACTACAGTGGAGCTATTATATTACCTTGTTTTTCTAGAACTTATCCAACTGTCTTATACACAGTAGGTGTTTAATACTTGCAGACTGATTGACATGGGCAGAAAAAATGGGAAAACCCTGGACAGCCCAATGGGTAGCTCCTTTAGTTACAAGTATGCTTGCCATAGTTTCAAAAGGACTTTTTAATGTTGGTTTCTTTTTTTTTTTTTAAATAAAAAAGGGTGGAATCTTGAGGAAAGTACAGTAGTAGAATTTAGGATTTATGGATTCTAATCTAGTCCAGGACATAGTGTGAACCTTTTCCCAACCACGGTTTTGACTTTCTCACAATGGGAAATGTAGTCAGGAAACCACAGGTCTGGTCCAGCCTCCTGTATTCCTTAACAACTCTGCTTCCTATTAATTGAAGAGCAGCCTTGACTTGGGTTGTAGAGGACAGATGCCAAATACCCAGAAACTGGAGATAACCCAAAGGGTGGGGGTGAGATGCTGGGGTCATCCCACAACTCAGATTGCTTTGACTAGGCGTGGCCCTTTCCTATTTATATTTGAAAATGGGTGTGTCTTGATATTCTGGGAATTGACTTCAAATCCAATCACAGAGCCATGTGATGAAGATGTGACTCAGGAAGAATTGGAGTTTCCCCAACCTGATTCCTCAACACCTTCCCGCGACCCATTCCTTGCTGGACGTATTGTGAGATGGATGCCATGCAGCGGCCGAGGAAGGACGGGTCAATCAATCCTCAAGTTCCTATTTCTATTAAGTGCCTCCTCTGAGGGGCAGCTAGGTGGCACAGTGGATAGAGCGCCGGCTCTGGAGTCGGGAGGACAGGAGTTCAAATCTGGCATCAGACACTTGATACTTCCTAGTTGTGTGACCCTAGGCAAGTCACTTAACCCCATTACCTAGCAAAAGAAAAAAAAAAGGAAAAAAGTGTCTTCTCTGTGCCAGGCACTGTGTCAAGCTTTGGGGACACACACACACACACACACAGGGGGAGGAAAAAAAGGCAAAAGTGAGGGTAGATATTTTGAAATTTGCATCTTTATGGCAAAAGCTGATTTATTTAATGCTTGAACGTTTGCAAAGCTCTTTACAGATAGGAACTCATTTGAACCTCACAACAACCCTGTGAGGTAGGTGCTAGTCTCCTCATTTTACAGAAAAAGAAACTGAGGCTGAGAGATTAAATAATATGGTGACAGCTAATAAGAATCAGAGATGGGATTTAAACCCAGGTCTTTCAGATTCCAAGCCCAGCACCTCCATCCACTAGGGATTACTGCCCTCTTCATGATGACTGTTTTGTTTGTTTTTTTCACAAATTTCTTCTGCGTCAGTGTTCAGTCTGTGGTTTGGGAAAGGGCAGAGGTGAGGGCTTTGCTCCGTACTCTGCCATTGGGCGTTAACATTCTTTCTATTGCTATAACCTCCTGCGACAGGAATGCCGAGAGGCAGCGTAGTAGAATGGTTAGTGCCCTGGAGTCAGAATCAGAAAAGCCTCGGCCAGGTCCTGACTTTACTGCTTACGGCTTGGTAAGTCGAAACCTGCTGGGGCCTCATTTCCCTCATCCATGAAATGGGGCTAACAACATCCACATCGCCCACTTCACTTGCTTGTTGTTGGTTTCGACACAGACAGGGCTCCTCTGTTTACAAAGTCCATTTTCATTGCTGAGGATGGTAGGTATTATTCCCGTTGCAGTGGAAGCAAGCGACTGAGGCCAGGGGGCTTAAATGACCTACATGTGAAAGGTGCTGGAGCTGATTTGGGGCCAGGTCTCTGCTAACTCCAAGTCCCGGGCTCTTTTCACTACATTAGCCTAGGAGGATCCAATGAGAAAAGGTCAGTGGAAAAGCTTTGAGATCCACGAAAGGCAGCCATCTGCTCCACTGCCCTACTGGGGTGTGGTGGCCCTTCATTTGCCAAGATTTTGCCATCAGTCAGAGCATGGGCTCTCTCAGGTCTAACCAAGCTGGAAAGGCTTCGCATTCAGACCTGGTGGGAAAGATGTGTCTCAGAAAACAGTATGGTGCAGCACCAAGAGAGGCGCTTTCTTTTTTTGGATACATCAACCCATGAAATGACTAAAATACAGTGTCGGGCATGCTGCATTCCACATTGGTGCTTAATAAATGTTTGTTGACTGAAGTGGATGAAGTAAATTTTAGTTATAATTTTTAAAAAATGTGACAGTCTCATCTAGAAGATAATTAGGTAATTAGGTGGCCATTTTTTGGTTTGGGCGGCAGCCACCTACAAAAACTGTCCTCTGCATGGAGAAATTGGGCTCTGTTGTAGAGCAGAGGAGCGGTGGAGTGGGCAGAAGCATTTGGGCTGCTTTGGGGTTGGGTCACAAGGGTTAATGCTTCTTTTGGGATTTGTTTGGTATGGCAGACCCCACTTCCTGATGCTTCCTTGTCCACAACTTCAGAAAAAGGAGAGTTTTGCTTTAGAACACAGCCAGGGAAGGCCTGGGTACTCTTGGGTGACCCACAAGATGATGGGATCACTGATTTAGATCAGAAAGAGACCTTAGAGGTCATCTAGTTCAGATCTTTTAACAGATGAGGAAACAGACCTAGAAAGGTGAGATTATTGCCCAAGGTCACAAAGGGAATAAGAGACAGAGCTGGGATTTGAACTTGTGTAATGTAGTCCTCCTTCCATTGGACTATGCTGGACCAGCTTTTGGCCTAGACTGAAGCTAAGGATGTGTTGGTGCAGATTATTCTCATTTGTCTCACTTTCGACACCTCCTCACCCCGCTCAGTTTTAGGACACCCTTCCTGGTAGCCAATACTATCATACTGTTTACTTGGAACTGAGAGCTAAACCTATAGGGGCTTGGGTGGTCTCCTTATAGCAACAGTCTTGAACTGCCCTGAAAAGGCGGTTTCGTGGTAACACCATTCTCTCTCTGCTCCCTTTGGTTTGGGGTTAAATGAACAGATTTCGGAGCGTTTTACTCCTGCCACCCACCCTCTCTGTTGTTTCTGACTTCCCCCTGGTCCCCTTGTGGTCTCTGAATACTCCTACTGCCCCACACAAAGGAATTACACTCACTTTCTCAGCACTGATGTAAGTCCAGAGGGATGCAATAAGCCAAAAGACTGCCTCATCAAAGAGCTACTCAGGGCTAGAGACTGTGTCTTGTTTATTTACCAAGAAGACAGATGTGTTGAAATCGCTGGCATTGCTCAGGAATGGGTTCCTGGGAGGCGGCCACCTCTTGCTGGTAGTCTGTGGCTCGCCTTCAAGGGCCCAGAGGACGCGCTCCTGGCAGCCTCTAAAACCTGGCTCTGTAGAGTACGCTTAGCCAGGCCGAAACAAAGGGCTAGGAGCTAGCCTTTAAACAGGCTGGAGCATTTCCTCCTTGCGTAGCACCCAGCCAAACTACCCCCTTCAAAGGGAGCCCAAATTGTGTCAAAGGAAGGGGCTGAACAGAAGGCACTTTGTAAACCCTTGAAGAGTGTTAGTGCATGCTACCCCCTATCTACCACATACTTTATTGGGGGGGGGGGGATGTGCTTTTGTGAGACAGATGAGCAGGAAGCAACTTACATTTGTTTGGTTTGTAAAGAACTTATTCACTCATATCAAAACCCTCCCCCAGTGCCAGGGCACAGCCCACAGTTCTAGGAATAGGTCTGATGAGAGCCTTTAAAAGATGAAAATGGGGTGACCCCTACCCTTGTTCTCACTGAAGAAGAGGCCTGTTTTAGCTTGGACATGACAGGTAAAGGGGATACAGGAGGGGAAGAAGCCAAGTCACCTCTCGTGAGGTCCTACATCACCAAGTTGGATGCTTCCTATATATAAATAAGTTAAGTCTAATCTATATACTTTATCTGGAATTGAACCAACCATGGTTCATAAGGACAGATAAGGGATTACTGCCTCATTCTAAAGTGTAAATCCTTCAGCACTGAGTGAGAGCACATCTGGTTCACCTGAAGGGGCTGAGGTGCAGGCCCATCCCCATGCATGCTCCATGGGCTAACTTCCACAAGCTACAGTCAGGCAGATGGGAGGGAGGGGCTCCCCAGATCATTCCTGCTTCAACTGCAAGAGGCTGAATTGATTTCAATCTCCTGAAAAGAAAGAGGGCAAAGCCTATGAATACTTTAAGTGAGCCCTAATTAGACTCAGGAATCTTTTCCTCCGGAAGGGAAATTGCTTGGCTGGTAATCAAAAGGCAAAGTGACAGCTCTCTGTGGTATCTCAATCTCCTGAGTACAACGCATTGGCCTTGTGAGACACATCTCATGACCTCCTGGTTTTCTGGTATGCCAGCCTGGGGATGGCAAAGATAGAAGAAGCAGTGGGCAAAGAGCTGGGGGAAAGAAGCACAGACCATGCTGAAAACCAAAATATTTTCTTCGTATACATATATGTATATATACACATACATATATATATATACATACATACATATATATATACATGTATACATACATATATATATATGTGTATATATATATATGTATATATATATATACACATACACACACACACACACAGAGCTACATATCTGTATATCTCCATATGTTCTCCAGTCCCTGTTTAGGACACAGCCCTGATTACTCTGCCTCCCTGAGATTCCTGCTCCTACTACACTAGAGAGAAGAGAGCTTTCCAAACCCCCTACAAGGCAGAACACAAACAGAAACCTTTGGATTCCCCCATTAAGAATCAGAGACGCTGACAAGATCCAGACCTCCCACAGGCGAGACGAGGGAGCAAAGCTGAGAGGAGGCGCACACAATCCTGCCGTTATGTACTCTGGGGCTGGAATCTGAGCTTGCTCAGCCATAGATGGCTGCTGAAACATTGGGAAGAAAATGGAAAGATCAAGTTTGAAAATCAGAATGAATTTAGCTGTATGTGTGTGTGTGTGTGTGTGTGTGTGTGTGTGTATACGCCTTTGGGAAGGAAGCTTGTGCAGTTGGTCACACTACAAAAAAGTACAAGACATCAAAGCTCCACTTGGTAGAAAACTAGCAGCATCTCTGAGGGTCCTAGTCCAGCCTCAGGCAGCTATGGTCCAGCAGTCTGCTGTAGGTGGGACCCCCAGCTTGCCAGGTTACTGTTACAATTCATCCATCATGGCCAGCAAATCGTCTCCTTTGCTGGTGCTTTGTTGGGGCTGATCGTGGACCTCAAACTCCCCCATGATCCGAGTGAGCTCTTCATTTCTTTGCTGGTCCTGTTAATGACAGTAAAGGCAGAAATGAGCAGAAAGCGTGCGAGGATGCATGGTTGGCCCAGGGTCTAGGAGGAAGTCTGTTCTGAGAGAACAATTCTATCTCATTACTCAGAATGTTATGTCAGGTCACTAACAACTCTAGGTAGTAGGTATACTTTAGTTCTCCACCTGCTCTGACTATGGGGTTTCTTTCCTTCTCTTAACCTAAACAGTGTTTTTGTTCATAGCTCCCTAATGGTACTGATTATGTTCTGGCTTGTATAGAAATTGCCTGTCTTATCTTCCCTGCTATACTGTAAGCCTTCTGAGGGCAGGGGCTGTTTTCCATTGGGGGTTGGCCTTTCAGTGACCCGCACTGGACCTTACTGGTAGTAAATGTTCACCCCACTGTTGTCTGGCCTGATTTCAGCTTCACAGAATGAGATGCCCCTCCCAGGATAAGCTCATCACTTCTGACTTCACCACCATGCTGCTAACTCAAGCCTTAGATACCACTGCCCTCAGTCTCTGTTCCCTTCTGATTGGAGGGCTGCAGAGTGGGGTACCAAATTCCTTCCAAAGCCCTCCTTTATAGAGGGCAGTACTTGGTCCTTCAGCTCACTCTACTTTTCATCTGTTGCTCTACCTGGTTCCACCCCATACCCCACACCTGCTTGCCAGCCTCCTTTTGTGTGTTATTTTCTCCTGTTAGATTGCAAGCTCTTTGAGGGCAGGGACATCATTTTTCTCTTTCTTGTCCTTCCTTCCTTGGCAATTGGGGTTAAGTGACTTGCCCAGGGTCACACAGCTAGTTAAGTGTCAAGTGTCTGGTCTGAGGCTGGATTTGAACTCAGGTCCTCCTGACTCTAGGGCCAGTGCTCTATCCACTGTGCCACCTAGCTGCCCTCATTTTTCTTAGCACAATGTCTGGCACACAGCTGGCATTTAATAAATGTTTACTGAACTAAAATAGATATTTGTTAAACTGAATTGGCTTTTTTTTTTTTGCTTTTTGGTGAGGCAATCAGGGTTAAGTGACTTTCCCAGGGTCACACAGCTAGTAAGTGTCAAGTGTCTGAAGCTGGATTTTGAATTGGCTTTTAAAGGTTATTAATAATATTTAAAGTTCAAGATTTGAAATGATGAAAAGAACTAGATTTTGACTGTGAAATGGAAGAAACTTAGGTGGAGAGAGAGATTTACTCAAGGTCACCTGGCAAGTAAAGGGAAGCAGGAGCGCTAGGAGCTGGGTTTCCCGGTTCTCAATCCAATGCTCTTCCTGGCCTCAAGTTAACTGGGGGCTTCTTTCTTTGGGGGAGTCCCAAGAATGTGCCCTTCTCCTCTTCTCTCCCACACTGTTCGTTATTACAATTCTCGGTTTGGCTGAGGAGGCTTCTTACTCTTTTCTGCCCAGCTCTTATCTCCCATCCAAGCTGTTTTCCATACAAAGCAGGTCCTGTTATAAGGCTCTTGCTCCTTCTCCAAGCTGCTTCGTGATGCCCTGTACTCACTCACCTGGGCTGCCTGAATGTTGATGACTTGGTAGGATAGTTCTTCTGGCCTGGTTAATGCTGCGTGCCTAAGGATGAAGGGTAGGAAGAAAAACAACCCATTTTAGAGTTTAGACATGCTTTCTCAAGAGAAACACAAGAAGAAAGCGATTGGTTGCTAATTTCCTGCAGGTTTCCCCAGTATGGCCAGGGCTTCCTTACAACGCTGCTTACTGCTCTCAGCCATATCCCCTCATTTAAGGCCGTACTGGAGGAGCTGGTGCAGCAGCTGCTGATGGGCAGTCGCTTAATTGCTAGCCCCATCTATTTTTATGGAGTAGGAATAGAACAGCTGGGCAGCTAGGTGGCTCAGTGGATAGGATGCTGGGCCTGGAGTCAGGAAGACTTGAGTTCAAATCTGGCTTACTAGCTGTGTGACCCTGGACAAGTCACTTAACCTCTGTTTGTCTTAATCCACTGGAGAAGGAAATGGCAAACTACTCCAGTATCTTTGCCAAGAAAACCCCATGGACAGTACTGGTGTGCTGCGGTCCATGGGGTAATGAAAAGTCAGACATGACTGAACAACAATAGAAATAAAATGGACTAGTTTGACCATCAATACTAGAATTATAAAGTGGATGAAGAGTATGTATTTCCAAGACCATGATATGTAGTTTGATGAGCAGACTGCTGAGTTAGTTTGTTTGCCTTCTGTTTTTCAGGGTCACTAGCCACTGACATCATGAGACTGGTAAATTTGGGGAAAGTAATCTACCTCCATGCTGATTCTGTAGAAGGGTTATAAAGGTATAACTATAACTATACACATATACTTTTGATTCTTTTGAATTCATGCCATTTATGATTTGCAACCATACAGTGTGCCTAGGAAAATAATGTTATTCCATAGAAATAGATGGGCTTTTGTGGCATTGAGCGGTCTGGAATTAAAGCCCTGCACAGGTTCCCACTGGAAGCCTTACCCATCTCCTTTTGCTTACTTCTGGGCTCAGTTGGGCTTGCTGTCCTGAGGTAGGTCCAGACTTGCACGGGAGCAGTGCGTAGCACTTTAATTCCAGACTGCTCAGTACCACAAAAGCCCATCTTTTAAACGTTATTAGTAATACCATGTGGCCACAAATCATAGAAGGACAGCATCTCAGAAAATCAAAATTGCAAGTAACTCAGAGGTCAAAGGAAGAACACTCAGTGAGGGTAAGTAGCTGCAGCACGTTTCTAATACCAAGAAGAGCTCACATTTAAATAGTGCTTTGGATGAGTGCCTTTCCTCACTGTGTGGTACATCATCCCTATTTTTCTCCAGTAGGTCCTTCCTTCACCATTGCAGGTCACACATCTCACCCTGTGTCCTAGTCTCCATGACATGTGGGGTACCCTCCTAGATCTCTTGACATTGTGTGGGTAGCACTGGAGGCCATGGGTCATTCCCCAGTCACCCTAGCCAATTTCCTTTCTGGGTCATGTTTCTTTGGTAATTTCTTTTATGTGGTTTCTCCCCTCAGTTCTTTACTGGATTTATGCTGCAGCCTCAGCATACCCACATCACATTATTCTAATAACCAATCCACTGCTCTAAAGTGGTCTTTCAGCATCATAAGGACGGTGACATCAAAAAGATGGGCCTTTGTTTCAGAGAGAAGTGTGGAGTCGTCCCCCTTTAGAGATGAGGGAATGGGCTCTGGGCACTTAAGTGATTTGTCTATGATTATACAGCCACTAAGTTTCTGAGCTGAGATATGAAGCCAGGTCTACTGAGTCTAAGTCAAATGCTCTCTCCATGATGTCTTGCTGCCTCCCATATATGTGTGACATATGCGAGAAGGGGTACAAAACACTTTATGATAGGATGTGTATGACCAGGAGATTGGCCACTCATACAGCAAGATGAAGGACAACAAATGTATCATCCAAGTATTATATTCATAAACATAATCTCTCTCTCTCTGTCTCTGTTTCTCTCTCTCTCTCTCTCTCTCTCTCTCTCTCTCTCTCTCTCAGCAGAGTAGCAGAAAGCTTGGAGGGCTGTATTCTGAAGGGGTAGAGGGAGAGAGTACCTATCCTGACTGACCCACCAAAGTATCAATAGGAGTAAAACATACTCTTCTTCTTCATCAGTGGTAAACAGATTCAACCGGAATCCAGGTTCAGGGCCACTGGTTTTGTTAATTTCCATTCCTCCCATCAACCTGGCCAAGAAATTCAGTTCTTCTTTAGCAAGAGGGTTCGGGGCAGTCCTCTCCTATTAAAACAATTTCATGCTTTTTAGTTATGTGAAGGTGTTCATACTTATAAGCCTCAGATACTATAACAGATCACACAGGTTTGGGGTTAACATTTCAAATAAAGGAAAATATAGCTTGAATGAAAATAAAATGTGACTTTTGGGATGAGTTAGGTCCATTCAGAAAGCCTGGGAATGCCTCTAACCATTCTCTAACAGCAGCAGATGCAAGCTCTTCATCATAAGAGAGCAGTCATCTGAACCCTAAGTAGGGGGACTTCACTTGACAAGCCCAGCTGACATGCACTAGGCCTCCATGACAGGTTTTGGAATGGCTCCAGTGACATGCTCTGAGACAGAGGCCACATAAAGCCCCGGTTGCAGCAGTGCCCACCCTTTCTTTACAGAGTTTTTTCCTTGGTAAAGATGAGAGTTTTGCCTTTTACTTTAGGGTCTACTTATTTTCTTTTTCTTCTTTTGGTGCTATCAACGGCATCCATGGGAACAAGGGCTTGCTCCCAAGCCTCATTTTAGATGAGCTTTCACACTGCCCTCTAGTGGTGAGAGATGCTACCAGAGGCACTAAAGGACCGATCCAGTGGTAAAAGTTATTTACTCCACAACTAGCTATTTACCAAAGCACTGGGAATTTATATGTAAGGGAACTTAAAACCTTGCTTAGAATTCATGTACCATATCACTACACAGAGAAGCACTTTTAGAAAAAGAGGCTCCACAGAAGTGCTCGTATGAAGCTATAGTAACCACTGGCTTAAGGGCACTGGTTCATGAACCTGGTGTGTGGGGTCTGGGTTTGTCAGGCAAAGGCCCAAATTATTTACATCTCTTCACTGAAACTGCACAACTTAAATGGCGGTTAGGAAGAGCGCATTCTAAATGGGCAGACACTTCTGATGGACCCGAGAAGAGCACAAGCTCTGAGGGAAACGTCTGTTTGAGACTAAAGTTCAACACAGACTAAAGGTAAAATGACAGGATTAACGCTGGATGGTAGAAAGGAGCCCACCTTCGTATTCAAAGCTGAGTTCTTTGATGCTCCAGACACATGTGTTTCCACTGGCCGACTAATGCTGTACCTGGTATCAGTAACAAGTGGTTATTTTCCTGGTTCCCGTATCATTTCACAGGCTTTCTAATTATTCCCCGTTGCAGTTCCCACATTGGTTACTCTGAGGCATTGAGTATGAATGAAGACTATGGTCTTAGGTCTGTGGCTTTTGGGAAGGTATTTGGATGCTGGATTACTCAGTGGATATCAAATCTTCAGGGGTGACCAAAAAAAGGAAACACAGAATTGGGAAGTCTCTCCCTTCATGTTTTAAAGTCATCCCTAAATAGGGCCAAATGTGATAATTATGTGTCAGTGAAAAAATGCACACTATTGGATCAAAAAAAGAATAAATGAGAAAGTATTTATTAAGTGCTGACTATGTGCAAACGTGCATTTGAGGCAGCTCGGTGGGCCTGGAGTCAGGAAGGCCTGAGTTCATGTCTGACCTCAGATACTCACTAGCTGTGTGACCCTGGGCAAGTCACTTAATCTCTGTTGCCTTAATTCACTGGAGAAGGAAATGGCAAACCACTTCAGTATCTTTGCCAAGAAAACCCCATGGAGAGTATTGGTGTGCTATGGTCCATGGGTCATGAAGAACTGGATAGGACTGAATGACTTAACAACAAAAATATGCAAATTCTGGGGATACAAAAAGCAGCTCACCTTCCACTAAGGGGAGAAACACATACTGGAGGCTCTAGCTGCAAGTCCAAAGGAAAGGCCCAGTGGTCTTCAGCCTGGCACAGCCTCAAGGCAGACAACAATATAGTGTCAATACCTCTTTGGTTGTTTGCTGAAGGGCATGATTAGAGGCTGGGGCCAGCTTTCTTCCAGGCTGATTGGTGCCTTTTTCTTTATCTACAGAGTTTTTTTCGGCTAGTATTCTTAGTTTCTATGACAAGATCAAGGATCTGTATGCATTTCACAGGAGGAAGAGAGCCATTTCTGACTCTATTTTTATTGCTAGGCTCAAAGAGGCTTTTAATTAAAAACCATTCTACTTGGGTTCTTTCAGGAAGACAGCGTTTACTTACATATTTGTCCCTAGTTTGAGGACTCTGTCTCCATAAAGATCAAAAGAACCTTCACTCTGTGCCCTGACATAGTGTCCGCCATGCTTAAATTCCACTTTCTTCACTTCTTCTCCTTTGTTATTAAACAGTCTGCAACATAACAAAATGTTCAGAATGATCCCAAGGGCAAAGACCTTTAGGTGCTTTATTATTTATACCAGAGGATAACGAGTTGCTGTTTTTGCCTATAAAACATTGCTCCCAATGTTACTGGATAAGCTCTAATCCTTTTTATAAACACACAGGGTAGAATGAAAAATGATGGTGGGGCAGGGTAGAAGTGTGCTCTGTAGAAGGAAACTTTATTGAACTCTGTATAGTTAAGGCCAATGACTAAGGCCTCAGTTGATAACAAAAACAAATCTCAGTGTTCAAAGAAAACTGAGGAAAAAACAAGAAGAGAACTGAAAGTTACACGGTCCAAATATTTGTCTAATACACAGATCACCAAGAGTTACATCCTCTCTGACCAATGCTCATTAAGTCTCAGCATAATATATCCAGTGATTGGGAACCCACTAACCCACTCCATTTTTGGATACCTCTAACTAAGAGAAAGTTATTTCTTATATTGATTCAAAATCTGCCTCCTCATAACCTACCTACCAGTCTAAATTCTTTTCTTTCAATTCCCACAGAACAAGTTTAATCTATTTTTCACATGAAGGGCCTTAAAATATCTGAAGATAGTTACCATGTTTCCACTAAGATTTCTTCTTTCCAGGCTAACCCTGGCTAGTCTGTTGAACTAATCTTCACACAGGAGGTTGTTCAGTCCCCTGCCATGCTGGTCGCCCTCTTCTGGGTTGCTTTCCATGGATGATTGATCATTGTTTGTCTTGTGGAACACAATACTCAAGGACGTAATCTGGCCTGTTCAGAGCTGTGTAAATAACCTCCCCTGCTTTGGACACTGAATTTCTATTAATGGAACCTTAGTTTTTTTTTTTTTGGGGGGGGGAAGGGATAGCTATATCATACTGGTGGCTTATATTAAATTTTTAATCACTAAGATGCTCACATGATATCAAGTTGTGTCTCCTCTGTCCTGTACTCATGAAGTTAATTGTTTAAAAGGTATTAAGAACCTCTGTCAAATCATTATTGCTGAGAATTCACCTGATGAGTCCAGGAACTTCGGTTCCCCATGGAACAGGCCCAGATATTGGCAACACAAAACGGCCATTTGAATTCTGGACTTTGTCCTTTAGAAATATGGACACCTAGAAAAAATATAGTAGTGACATAATCACTTTTAGTATCAAGCAAAGTGAGTACTCTAAGAATCAAATGTATACAAAATCATTTCTGAGACTGCTAAGTATGCTACAACTCGGGGCTGTTGCAGTCATCAGTGTAAGGAGAATGTGTAAGCAATAAGGAGGAAGGCAACTATGCACAAAGGAGTCAGGTGTGAATTCGTGTTTTACAGCCTTCTCAAATGAAAATCCTTAATGCCAATTTTTATCCTGTTGTTCACTGGGACTTTGATGTGTCATAGACTAAAAGCTGTTAAGAGACTTCTAACAAGCGAATCACGTTAACGAAAGCTATTTATGTACTGCAAAGAAATCTATTTTTAATATCACCTATTACTAATTTTTTATACGGCATGACTCAAAGGAAGTTTGGCACTGTGGTTTCCTCAGGACTTTTAAAATTGGATTTATAAGTGAAACACAATATTCTCACATCAGGTGATCTTACAAAGTGGCTTGACTTTCCATTTTTAAATAGGCATCATCTATGAAGCACCTATTATATGTAAGGCCCTGTGCTTGGCACTGAGTGTCTGAAAAGGACCCTTGGGAATGGGGTGAGGAGGGGTAGGAACAGAGCACTGAGTTGTCAGGACCAGGTGTCTGGAGGAATGGAAAATAAGATTGGAGATGTAACTATATTTTAAAAAAAAGCTAGTTGTGTTAATTTCTGTCAGAAATCAACCATATTAAAAGCCACTTGTATTTCTTAATTTAACCATAGATCCTGTATTTTGCAATCAGAATTTCACTTGTAGAAAGAATGGTGATTAAGTAGGTGATCTCTGGAGATTACCTCACATTGTCCTGCAAATGGAGGCAGAATGGTCTTTATGTTTAATTGAAACAAGTGAGATATTTATTCCTAGAAGATTGATAGTATGATTTAAAAACAGGAATCAATAAAATAGAATATAATAATAGAATAAAATAAAAAAAGGACCCTGACAAAATTATACTTATAGATGACTCTGTAGGACTTACAGACCTTTACTATATTAATGCTATTATTATTGTTGTTGCTATTAACAACTACTCACATTTCTAGAGAACTTTACAGTTTAAAAAGTGTTTTCCTTATCACAACACTGTGAGGTAGACAGTACAAGTGTCTTTGTTTTACAGATGAGGAAAGCCCAGAAAGCTCACATGGTTTGCTCTTGCTAGTAAATTGCAGGGCTGAATCTGAAACCTTTACCTGAAGGGCAGGGTGCTATCCCCTGTACTTGCCCTCCACAGAGTGTTTTCCTGGACCTTGCTGCCTCTCAACGTGGGTCCTCAAAACCCACACGTTTGTGTTCTGATACCAGCTCCATTTTAAGGCTCACTGACCCTGTAAGAGACTGTTTATCCACTTACCCGGATGTGCATGTCTTGAAAAAAAATCAGCAGGGTCTGTCTGATGAGATGGAACTCACCAGCAGAAAGACAACCATACACCTGCCAAAGAGCAGAGAAAACAAGGCCCGTGACCTTTCTGGGAAGGGGCAGGAGGGGTGCACAGTGAAATGAAGGATCCAGAATGGACCAGAAAAGCAAAGCAGAGCAGCAGCAGCCATGACAGCTGGGCTACCCAAGGGAACAGTTACAGAAAAAAAATAAAATGAAACTAGCATGGAAAAATTATCAGAGAATAGATATCTTTAAAATATCTTTATAGTACTTTTTGTCTTCCCCCCAAAAGCTCCTGAGAGCACACCCCAGAATTTAATAAAAAGCAGAGTTCTAACTCTAAGGGAGACATCTTACAGTCTTCCTAAGCCCCTCCTCTCTCTCCCCATTCCCTAGTTTTACAGAAGAGGAGACAAAAGCTGAATGGAGAAGAGACTTGCTCCCGGGCTGACACCAGGAGACACCTAGTAGAACATTCACTATCGACCTCCGGGGAGGCTGGAGGAACCATTGGTTGGGGATGTGACAGAAGAGATCTCTGGGCGTGAGGTTGGATTAGACGCCATCTGGAGATCCTGTACACTATAGCTCAGTGCCTCGAGGATTCCAGGAACTCCTCTCCAAAGAGGACAGAAAACACTGCTTTTTGTGGTCACTGACAAGGGAAAACAATTGAAGCTAATGCCTAAAATGTTTCCTGAGATAGTAGCTTCTTCTCAGATAGTTCAGAATTTGGTTAGGAGACTTGTAGGCCTCCATGGCCATGGAATTTACAAGAATGTTAACAGGGCTGAAGGTTTATTGATTGATAATGTCCTTACTTCAATTACTTGCCGAAAGGTTTCATCCACTTGGTTCATGATGGTTGGGGAGTCACGGATAAAATCCTTGATGGCATCTAAGTGGTTGAAAGTGACCAGCAATACATCCTTAGGCCGGGGACATAGCAACACTTGATATTTGAAAGCCATGGTCATCAAGTCATAGAGCTGAAAACCCACACAATAAACACAAAAATAAATTACTGAAGTCATAGTGGCTGATAAATCAATGTGATAATGATATTGCACTATTAATATTTTTTGTGGTTGTTGAGTCATTTCAATCATGTCTGACTCTTCATGACCCCATCTGGGGTCTTCTTGGCAAAGACGCTGGAGTAGTTTGCCATTCCCTTCTCCAGCTTATTTTACAGATGAGGAAACTGAAGTAAATAGGGTTAAGTGACTTACCCAGGGTCACAAAATTAGTAAGTATCTGAGGCTGGATTTGAACTCAGGAAGATGAGTCTTCCTGACTCCAAACCCAGGGCTCTATCCCCTGCCCCACCTATTATTATTCCTCCATTAAAATCCTCCGTTGTCTCATTGTGACATAGAAGCGACCTTGGATTTTCTCCAGCTAGAAAAGCTTCACTTACAGGTTTGGGCATGACTGTGTATCAGTTTTCTCAGGATTAGCCCAGCTAAATTTGGAAAGACTCATCAGCAGAAGGTTGGTGATTAATTTTCTTGTCCACTGCAATTCATGAAGACCATTTCCAAATGCATGAAGCAGTGCGATCTGGGAGAGAGCGCCAACAATGATAAATCATACATTTACATTGTTCATGTCTTTTCTTGATCTCATCTTCATTTTTTTCTCTAGATCTTGGACTGGGTCTGGGACAGATACTAGGACTAACAAAGACTCAAACACCTCTCCAAATAAGTGCCTCATTCTCCATATTCTTAGGCTGGTACCATTTAAGTTTACTCTGGGGACCCAGACTTCTAGAATAAACTTCCTGCCACTCACCCATCCCCCGATCCCCTGGTATTTGGGGAAGGAACACTCTACTCCACCATCATAAGACAATGGCCTGCAGAAGCTCCAACCAATGGTTATTTCCCAGGCCTTTGGCCAGCAAATTTTCAGGTCTTGTTCCCATTATCCCAGTGATTCAGCATCTCTGCGTCCTGGGACATTCTCTGGTTTCCTATCCCCATTCAGTTCAAGGTTATCACTTCCAAAGCACTGCTCTATTCTCCCCTTCCATGACATCCTCTAAAACTCTGCTCAATTAATAAACTTTCTTTTATCCCCAATCTTCTCTTTTTTCACTCTTTCCACCTTCTTGTGCTCACTGAAACTTTGTCCTCTTGGGAAGATTGTATTCCCAAGCACCCTCTTTAGGGAAAGCTTCTCCATAGGGGACTACGAGCTCACTATGAATGTTATCTAGTAACTAGCGTGCTTGCTAAGGCAGTTAAAAAGGCTGGTCAAAACTTGCTGCCTGGCTACAGGCAAGACTGGCAGGTGTCTGCTGGGGACAGTTCCACTGTCGTCTGCACAAGGCAGGGCCACATGTGGAGCACTTTGTTGAGCTCTGAGCAGCCCATTTTATGGATAATAATAATAATAATAATTAATATTGATAATAGTAATGATGATAGGCGACAGTTATGTAGCACTTATGTTTACGCTTGTACAGTGTTCTATGTACATTTTATTGTTTAATACAACAACCCTAGGAGGTTGGTGCTATTAGGATCTCCATTTCACAAATAAACAAGGAAACTGAAGCTTAGAGAAGTGACTTGCCCAGGGTCATACAGTTCAGAATTAGGGTCTGTGGCAAGTTTTGAACCTAGGTGTTGGTGATTTCTGGCTCCACTCTTCACTCTGGCCCACAGTGTCTGACAAGAGTAACTAAGGTGATGAAGGGGCTCCGTCAGGTTTCTGTAATATGAAGAGCAGTGGAAGGAAGGTTTGCTTTGGGTGGAGGGGAGCAGGAAGCTCTTCCTGCCCAGGAGAGCTCTGTAAGGGGTGGGGTACTCCAGGAAGGGGCAGGCTCCATAGGCAAAGGCCGAATTTGTCTCATGCTTTAGAGGAGAATATTTCTCAGGAATGGGCTGGACTTGGCTCCTTTCAAGCTGAAATTTTGTGACTCATATCCCCAGACACAAAGGAAGAAGAGACCACGATAGGAGGTGGCAGTGTCCAAGGTTCCCCATCGCCACCGCCAGCATCACGCAATAACCTTTCCTGCTTTGGGGGTTATTCTATCTCCCTTTATCTATCAGTCAACAAGCATTTATGAATCCCCAGTGTGCCAGGTTCTGTGCTATGCTATGCTATAGGGATAAATGCAAAGAATGAAACAACTCCTGCTCCTATGGAGCTGATGTTCTAATAGGGACACAATGAATCCATATATAGATGTACACAGAATAATTACGAAGAGAATAAACACAAATAAGTGCAAAGTGATTAAATACAAGGCAGCTAGGGCACTAGCATTTAGAAGCGACAGAAAAGGTTTTTTGTAGAAGGTGGTGCTTGAACTGACTGGAAGGAAGAGATAGATTCTGAGATGGAGATGGGCATGGGGAATGGCTGTGGCCAGGGCAAAGAGACAGGGAGTAGAGGGTCATGCACAATGGATAAAGAGAAGGCTCAATTTAGTTGGATCTCGGAGTGCGGAAGAGGGAGAAATGTCTCATAAGGCTGAAAAGAAAGGGTTGGGGACATACGAAGGTTGCTAAAAGCTAAACAGAGGAGTTTCTGTTTTATCCTAGATCTAACAGCTGATTGAATATGGGAGTGACATGGCCAGACCTGCATTTAAGGAAAATCCCTTTGGCAGCAGGAAAGGCTATGGTGGGGAAAGGCCTGAGGTTGGGAGACAAAAGAGGCCATTACAATCAAGGTGAGAGTTGATAAGGGCCCAAACTAAGGTGGTTGGTTAGCTCTATGAGTAAAGAGAAGAGATGATGTGGAAGTAAAAACAGCAAGATTTAGCAACTTATTAGATATTAGGGGTGAGGGAGAATGGGGAGTCCAGGATAATGCTGAGGTTAAGAACCCAGGCAACTGGAAGGATGATGGTGCCTTCTATAGCACCTATAGGGAATCTGGAAGACTAGAAGGTTTGGGGGAAAGATGAGTTCAATTTTAGACATGTTGAGTTTAGGACGTCTTTGGGACATTTGGTTTGAAATGTCCAATAGACAATGGTGATAGGGGCTTGAAGCTCAGGGGAGATCTGGCCTGGACATGAAGATCTATGAGTCAGATGCATAGAGACAGTGATTAAACACAGAATACTGAACTTGGGGGAGTGCAGAACCTGAGTTCAAATCCCAGCTCTGCTACTTCTCCCTGTGTGACCTTGGGCAAGTCACTAAAGTGTGCTGAGCCTCAATTTCCTCACCTGAGAAATGAAGGGATTGAAACAAATGCCCTCCAAAGTACTTCCCCCTCCCCTCAACAACTCCTGATCTGTGATCCTGTGATCTGGGCCACAGCCTTGCTGTTGTGATTAAGCCACTCCCACAGTCCCTCTCTCACCTTTCTCAAGAAGTCTGAGACCAGCTCACAATCATCTCCCCAACTCAACTTGTCCTCATAGTTGGGAGCTTGAGGTCTCCTCAAATATCTCACCACCTGTGACCTACAGCTTTACTCGACCTTAGTGACCCCCAGGCATGGTTGGTCAGACCTTAGAACACCATCACAACTGAGGCATCGCTTTAATTTTGGACAGTGAAACCCCATCTCTGGGCATAGTCTCTTATCCTTCCATTTCTTCTGCCTCTTGCTAGACCTGTTTTTGATCCTTACTACAAGTCCCCCTATCTTTCCTCCTTCTCTCAATTTATTACCCCTTTTCTGGCCCCTCTTTTCTTCCTTGACTTTATAGACAATCACTTCAACTTATATTGTCCTGCACCCCATCATCCCTCACTCTCTTGTGCTACTGCCAATTCCCAGCTCTGGATCGCCTCACTATCCACCTTCTCAGCCTGTATCTATTGAGTCTTGCTGGAAGAAGACACACAACTAAGTTCACTGCAAACTATATAGTCTAATCTCTCTCTTTCTTTTTTATCTAGCAGTATTTTATTTTTCCCCCCAATTACATGTAAAGTAGTTTTCAACATTCATTTCTGTAAGATTTTGGGTTCCAAATTTTTCTACCTCCCTCCCCAAGACAGCAAGCAATCTAATATAGGCTATACATGTCAATCATGTTAAACATATTTCCACATTAGTCATATCATCAAAGAAGAATCAGAACAAAAGGGAAAAACCACAAGAAAGAAAAAACAAAAAACAACAAAAAAAGAGAAAACAGTATGCTTCCATCTGCATTCAGACTCCATTGTTCTTTCTCTGGATCTGGATAGCATCTTCCATTATGAGTCCTTTGGAATTATCTTGGATCATTGTATTGCTGAGAAGAGCTAAGTCAATCATAGTTGATTATCCCACAATGTGGCTGTTACTGTGTACAATGTTCTCCTGGTTCCTCATGTCACCCAGCATCAGTTCATGTAAGTCTTTACAGGTTTTTCTGAAGTCTGCCTGCTCATCATTTCTTATAGCACAATAGTATTCCATTACATTCACATACCACAACTTGTTCAGTCATTCCCCAAATGATGGGCATCCCCTCAATTTCCAATTCTTTGCCACCACAAAAAGAGCTGGTATAAATGTTTTTCCTTTCGTATAATCTCTTTAGCATATAGACCTAGAAGTGATATTGCTGGTTCAAAGGGTATGCACAGTTTTACAGTCCTTTGGGCACAGTTCCAAATTGCTCTCCAGAATGATTGGATCAGTTCTATGTGGTTAATCTCCACTGGGTCCTCACTAGCACCCAGAAAAACTTTTATTTTTCCTTTATTCTCTATCCCAGTCTTTTCAGTAGCTGTTCTATATCTTATCTTTTCTTCTCAAAACCCAAATGCCTTCTCATCTCCTCTTGTCTACTAAGGAGCAAATGTTCTTGTCTTCTACTTTACTGAGAAAATTGAGACCATCCATCTCTAGTTCCCTTATCTCCTACATGGTATGCGTTAAACATATACAGCTATTAAAGCTTAAAACTTCACTAAGACTTTTGGGACACCATATATATATATATATATGTGTGTGTGTGTGTGTGTGTGTATGTATATATACACATATATATATGTATATATATGTATATACACACATA